GACACACACACACACACACACACACACACACACACACACACACACACATTGCCCACCGCTCGCGGTGCCGTACTTGTGCATCCTACTAACACATCCACCAACATACACAGGTCGCTTGCTACACCGACGGGCAGCGCTATGTCGAGCACTACGACGGCGTCGACCCGCACAGCGATGCGGGGCGTGCCTTTTGCGCGAGTGGCGGGCAGCGCATCGTGACGGTGCTCATGTACCTCAACCAGCCCGAGGCGGGCGGGGGCACCCTCTTCCGCAAGTTGGGCCTCGAGATCAAGCCGAGCAAGGGCATGGCCGCGATCTTCTTTCCAGGTCGCCCCGCCTCCCTTCCCTCGCCTGCTTCGCACCGCGCCAGGCTTGGTCATCGCAGCCGCGCCCGCTAACCCGGGGCCACGTCCGGGCTCACGCCTGCTCACGCTGCTCTCTGCGCGGCACGCGAGCAGGCTTCCTCAACGGCGAGCTCGACCACGACGCGCTGCACGCAGGGCTGCCGCCCTTGGGCACCAAGTGGGTGGCGCAGGTTTGGATCCGACAATGGCTACGGGAAGACGGCCAGCCGTCAGCGCCCGCCGCCGCCGAGGAGCAGATCCTCACAGGGCCGCTGCACGAGGGCATCTACCGCGGCCACTGCTTGGCGGGTGACGACGTGTTTGCCGCCAGCATGACTTTTGAAGAGGCCAAGGCATGGGCAGCCTGTCACGCGGGCGTTGAGGGCCGCATACTCTGAGCCGTTTACTCTCCAGGTGAGACTCGCGCCGAGGCGCGGGCGTCACTGACTTGTTAGGCTTCACTTTTGCGAGCGAGGAGCGCTTCCCGTCGGAGCCCGTTCAGGTCTGCTTCAAGGCCAGGCTAAGAATATTCAGCGCCGACGGCTGGTGGACGTACTCGCTCGGCCGTGCGACGGAGTGACGGCTCGACGTCGCGAGCTTCGAGGCACCGTAGGACTTAGGACGGCGGCCGGGGCTGGCCGCCAATCGTATATTTGGGGCCCGCCAGGGTTTTGCAGTGTTGGGGCGGAAGGTTTGTGTGTTATGTGCGACGTATAGAGGGTGAGACCGATATCCGTTTATCCGTAGTTGTCTCTATCATAGTCATAGAGAGCGTTGTCCGTTGAGCTTCTTCAAAAAAAAGGCGGCGACGGCGTGTGGGGCTTTTTTATTGGTCTCACACAACACTTGTCACCCTGGGTGAGCTCTCGATCCCGCCGAAGCGCGATCGACCGCTCGCAGAGATACATGTGTGCGGTCTCGTCTCGCACATCGGATGCTCGTGGCGTGGCTCCTGGGCCGTATGTATGAGAGAGAGAGAGAGAGAGAGAGAGAGAGAGAGAGAGAGAGAGAGAGAGAGAGAGATGCGCATATCTCACCTTCCCATCTTCGTTGTGCGCGGCTTCGGCCTGCCGGACTCGTCATACACCTGCGGGTAGGCGCGCCCGAGCATGCTGGGGCGGTGCATTGGCAGCTTGTCCGGCTCGAGTCCAATCGCCTCGAGCTCCTCGCGCACAATCCGGTACATCGCCTGGTTTCCCTCGCCATTGAAGTGAAGTCCGTCGTAAAAAAGCGCCCTCCATGTGTCTCCCACCCCCTTGAGCTTGCCGTGCACATCGAGAAGCCGGGCCCCGCTCGCCCTGGCCACCTCCTTGACCGCCTCGACCATAGGAGCGATTCGCTCCTCGCCGCGGCCCGACCCATTGGCCTGCATCTTTGTCGCCTTCGTGAAGTAGGTGTAAACCTGCGTGCCATCGCACGGCGGAGGCGTGCATAGTAGCACAGTTGCACACGGATAGCGATCACGAAGCAGAGCGACGATCTTCCGCAGGTTCAGTCCATACTCCTCCGGCGGCACATGCAGGGGGTCGCTACTCTTGACGTGGTCGTTGGAGCCGAGCATCACAGTGATGGCTTTGGGTGCCTTAGGGAGCGAAAGCAGTCCCGCCTCGAGGTCTGCGAGGATCCACTTTGTAGTGTATCCGCCAAACCCGCGGTTAATGACGTCAAGAGAGCGGGAGATTCCATAGTCCCGCGCGAGTAGCGCCGTCCACCCGGGACCATGCTGCTCGAGGATCGACCCCGGTGGCATGCTGCCCCCGCCAAGCATGCAACCTAGCTCAGTGATCGAGTCACCGATACACAATAGACAGGACTTTTCGTACTCACCAGGCGCGGGAGCTGTGTTGGTGGCAACCGGCGTTGGTTCATGGCCGCCCGATTCGAAGTACCGGCGCAGCCGATCCTCATCCCAGCCGAAACACTCTGGCGGCGGAGAGATGTCATCGCAGTGGTACTCGTCGCACAGCTCGTCGATTAGCTGCTTCTGGAGGGATTGCAGCTTTTCGTACGTCGAGGGCATCGCTCATGACCCTGCACAAGTTGGTTCGTTCGTTCCGGTCCACACGCGATACTCGTAGGAACTTGCGGAACTGGATGTAGAGCTCTACAGCTCTACAGCGCTCTCCATCTCTACAGCTCTACAGCGCTCTACACTCTACATCCTCTACACCCTCCGCGCCGTGTCTGTGTCGCTCTGGAGCGCTGTAGAGCTCTAGGCCTCTAGCTAGAGCTCTACATACATCCGGCGCGTGACGGACCGCCGCAGATGCGCTGTAGAGGTGAGTGCGATTTTGCTGTAGAGCTTGTTGTAGATGCACGGGGCGTCGCCCGCCGCGCCCCGCCGTGGGTGCAGCCTCATGCCCCACCGCCGCATCTCCCCTTTCCCGTTCGCTCTTCTTCTCCTCCCTGTCTGGTCAGCACTAAGCGGGTCCGCACACAGCCGAGACGCCGGAGTGCGCTGTGCGGGGATCGCTCTGCCGTGCGGAGATCCGCGCCGCAACCATGCAGGCGCAGCTCCAGGGGCGCAGCATGAGCATCTCGCCCCCACACCCCAGCACGTGCTCTCGCGTGCGTACGGCTGTAGTGCGTCTCTCATGATGAAACCATGAATATCTCTCCCCCATTAATGGCATTATACAAGTTGAGCCACAACAAAGTCAGTATACGGCTAACAATAAAGTAACTAAGCTGCATCGGCACGCTCTTCCCCGCCGCGGCCTGCGTCGCCAGGAACTCGCGCAGCCGCAGGCGCACGCGCCGAAGCTGCACCGACAGCGCCGGCCCGTGTGGCGCTAGCATCGGCCGCCCATCGCCGCACGCGGCCTCCTCCTGCCGCTCGTCATCCTCCGCCTCGAGGGCGTCCGCCAGCGCGCTGCGCCGCACACCCCGGCGCACAGGAGGCGGCGCCGGCCGCACCTCGGCCGCCTCGGCGTCGCCCGCGGCACGGGCGCCCCGCTCGCCGTCCGCGCGGTCCATCGCCGCATCCCCATCCCCGTCTGCGGCAGCGCCGCCTGCGCCCGTGCCGGCCTGCTCTGCGACGGCTCGCCACCGCTCGTCGTCCAGCATGTGCCACCACCGCCGATCCGGGTAGCCGTCGTACTCGACCTGGTGCGCGATCCGTCCGTCCCCGTCCTCCTCCCGCGCCATGACGGTCGCAGGGTACCACCGCTCACTGTCGCAGAAGATCTCGAGGCGCGATCCGGTGGACAGGACAGTGTGGCCGTCGAGCGCCGCCCTGGCATCCTCGCGCTGTCGCTTCCGCCGCTTCGCCTTCGTCTCCTTGCTGCGCAGCAGGGTGTAGTTCGGGCCCACCTCCGCCACGCTGTCCAGCAGCTGGGCGGCGCTCGCCATCTCGACCGCGTCGTCCTCCGGCGGAAGCTCCGCGTCGCCCGCGGCCGCTTCCCGAGCGCGCTCGTCGCGCATCCGCTCGTGGTGGGCCTGCCGACGCGCCACGCCGGCGCCCGTGTGCCTCGCCGCCGCGTCCGGTGACGGCATCGGTCGCTGCCACAGGTCGTCCCACAGGTCGTACCAACAGGTCGTCCCAAAGGGGACGCATCCAAACCGCCGCATTTCGCCCGCCGAAAAGTCTCCCACTCGCTCTGCCCCAATCTCGAACCAATCTCGAGTCGTCTCACTAGTTACATACATACTTCACAAAAAGAAGACATGTGCGGGGTCCGGCTGATGTACGGTTCTGGAAGAGCGGTCCCCTACTGCCGCCGCGTGCGGTTAGCGTTCCAAGCAAAGGCCTCTGCGATTGCAGGCCGCAAACACTCGGCCCAGCGAGTGTACCCCTCGGGCGTCAGGTGGAGCAAGTCGTACATGAGGTGCGGCTGCAAATGACGCCCCCCGGGCCCCGCCGCCGAGGAAGCGTTCCGCTTCACCTGGTGAGCGCGGGCGTGTGGGGCACCCAACGGCTCCGCCAGCATCAGGTCGCCGTCGGGCGTCGCGCTCGCAGCCTGGTCGGCCGGTGCGTAGCCAGGCGCGAGGAAACGGTCGCCTGCGCGGCGGGGACCTGTCGGTTAGCTGGCTGTGCGCGGACGTGCAGAGGAGTGGAAATCGATGCCAGGGCGCACCGCAATCGACCCACCGCACCCACGGCCGCTTCCAAGCATACGCCGCCAGCCGGCCGTTGAGCGTTGTGACCTTATGGCGAGTTTGGCCGAGGTAAAGCCAAGGTGCGGGCCCCAAGTAGCAGTCAGTCTAGAGTAACGCGGACCGCGTGGTAGTGGCTGTTTGTCTCGGCGTCGTCCCACCACGGGGTGCGTAGGCGCCTTGTTGGGCGAGGAGGGAGGGAGATTTGTGGGTTGCCGGCTGCGCCGGGCGGCGGAATGAGGCAGCGCAAGTGGCCGCGGCTTGGGCTCGCCTGCCGCCAAGCCACGCGTCGCCGCCCCGAGGCAGGATAGCCTGCAGCAGCAGCGTCGCCGCCGGCCGCGCCGCGTGGAGCTGCTCCATCACCAGGACGAGCTGAGGCGTGGGGAAATGGTGTTAACCTCCATGGCCTCCAGGGCACGCACCTCTCATAGACTAGCGCGCAGCGCAATAGGCGGTCTTTTCTTCCTAATCACCAAGTATG